TAATCACAATGCATACTCTGAATAGAAGATATTAGTGAGATGTCTACTTAACTTCAGAGTAGATATCAACTTCATATTTTATTTCTTTTCTTTGATAAAGAATTGAAAGAAGATAGACCTGTCAGATTATATGAAATTTACTGATAAAATAAAATATTATTATTTTAACATAATTCAAGTGAAGTGTGTGATCACAGACTCAGAAGAAATCTTTAAGAAGAGCAGTCTGCTTCTTCACACAGTTAATATTATAGATGAGAATGTTATTCTAGATCTTCTATAATTGAGAGAAAACAATTCTCTCATTGACTGAGTCACTCAGATGTGATGATATCACCTCACTAATGAAGAGACAGTAATAGAGAAATCTGAAGAGTTTCATTGAAAGAATCTTGAGAAAAAGATAGAGTTGATATACTGTATAGCAGGTGATTGAGACTTGAGAATAGATAAAGAAGTTATCAACTCTCACTGCAAAACTAGCAGCAGTATCTGTCATTGAAGACAGATGTACATGATATCTCTTTATAGATTATAAGAATGTCTTTTCAGAAAGAGAAGTAGTGAAGTTTTCTGATATCAAGATATAATATAAGATTCATCTTGAAGATGATGTAACAGTACTGTACAGATCTCTTTATAACTTATCTGTAAAGAAATTGAATGTTCTATGTAAATATCTTGAAGAAGTGCAATCAAAGAACTGAATATATTTATCAAAGAGTCTGACAGAGACGCTTATACTCTTTGTGTTTAAGAAGAATGATAGACTACACTTATATATAGACTACAGAGGTCTTAATAAGATGACAGTTAAGAATTACTATTTATTATGATTGATTAATAAGATCATTGATTGATTATCTGAAGCAAAGATATTCTCAAAGATTGATATACAGAATATATATCATAGAATCAGAATTAATGAAGATAACATTTAAAAAACAGCTTTTTATATCAAGTATAGCAATTTTGAATATCTTCTTTATCTTTTGATCTTTGTAATGCTTCAGTCATCTTTCAGATTTATATAAATGAGACACTGTAGAGCCTTGTTGATATCTTCTGTATAATATACTTAAACAACATTCTAATCTTCTCAAAAATGAAGAAAGAACATAATATTCATGTTTAAGAAGTGTTGAGTCACTTGAGACAGTATTAACTCTATACAAACACTGAAAAATGCTCATTCTACATACAGAAGATTGATTTCTTAGATTATATTATTAAGATGAATAGCATTTCAATGAACAGAAGCTGAGTCTCTGTCATTAAGAACTGATCAGCACTGTGAATATACTGTGAGATGCAGATGTTTCTAGAATTTATGAATTTCTACAGATAATTCATCTATATATATTCATGAATTACTGCTTCTCTTACAGATCTGTTAAAGAGAAGTATGAAAGACAGAAAAATAAGACTGTTTATTCTCACTCAAGATATCATGTAGATGTTTACAGAATTGAAACAAGCTTTCACAGATGTTACAATACTGAATCACTTTAATTCTGACTTACTCAGTCAGTATGAGACTGATATATTCAGAAATAGAATCTATGAAATCTTTTCACAGTTGACACTGAAGACCTTTCAATATTAAAAGAATCAGAGAATAATTATCTCTGAAGAAATAGATAATGAATTATCTGTGAGAGAAGACTTTTTCACAGAGTCTATAAGATACTGTGAATAAAGATCAGTGATTCTCTTCTTCAAGAAGTTATCACTTATACAGAGAAGATATGATACTTATAATTAGAAGATATTAGCAGTTATTAAATTCTTTAAGATCTGATAACATTATCTTCAGAGTAGTAGATACTCAGTGTAAGTTCTTACTAATCATGCAAATCTGTGTTACTTCTTGATAATAAAGAGCTTGATAGAATGTCAAGTCAGATGAGTGAAGCTGCTTTTGAAGTATGATTTCTATATCTGATACTATTCAGATCAGCTTCACTCTGCTGACACACTATCTAGACAGTCTGATTATAATATTATTAATGTGAAGAAGAATTCTATAAAAGAATCTCTGTCATCACTGCAGAAGAAGCTGACTGCAGAGAGTTGAGATTCTCTGAAGCTTGAAAACAGCACTGAAAAGACAGCTGTGTGACTCAGTATAGAAGATGAAAGAAAACTCAGATCTTCACAGAAGACTGATACTGAAGATCATGAGCTTCTTATATTATATCTTACAATTATTAAATTAATAAAGAATGAAACAGTCTACAATCTTTCAATCTGACTACTTTTGAAATTCATTAATAAGTTATAGAAGAGGAATGCCTCTACTACAGCTTAAATTCAGAAGTTAAAGAAGAAAGAATCTGATTTAAACTTGAAAGAGACAGACTCTGAGTGAGATGATAATGCTAAGAAATCAAGTCACTGATAACTAGAAGAATGTGAACTTCTACTGCTGAATAATTCAGTCTTCATCTCTTATAGTAGAGTGATATGTCAGAAGTTATTGAGAATTCATCATAATAATTCTCATATGAGACACTTCAGATTAGAGAAGACTGAGAAGCTTCTAAAATATAAATATATTTAAGACAAGCTTCAGACAGATGTCAAAGAGTATATTAAGACTTATAATATCTGTCAAAGAATAAAGATTTCATAGTATAAGTAATACAGTGAGTTAGTATCACTGCCTGTTTTAAAGAGCTTATAGCAGAATCTATTAATGAATTTCATAGTTGATCTACTGAAGTTGACAAGAGTCAAAGAATATAACTCAATTTTAATCATTATTAATCACTTCATAAAGATAATCAGATATATTTCTATTTATAAAAAGATTAAAGCCTCTGAATTGACTAATCTGTTTTTAGATATCATTATTTATAATCACAGTGCTTTGAAATTGTTAATAACAGATCAAGAATCCCTCTTCATTAGTAAATACTGATTGATCTTTTGCTATCATCTTATAATAAAATGTCTTCTCAGTACTGCATTTCATTCACAGACAGATGATCAGACTGAATATCAGAATCAGATACTAGAATAGCATCTTCAAGTGTTCTATTTATATTATTAGAATGATTAGCTCAAACATCTTCTAACTACTGAATTCATATATAATAATACAAAGAATACAATCTTAAAGATATCTTCTTTCTATACTTATTATGAATATAATTCTTCATTACTCAGTGACATCACAGATAACATTTCAAAGAAGAGAATAGACAGTCAGAATGTTAAACAGATACAGAGAATAGAGTATTTCTCAGTATCAGAAATAAAAGTGAGATTGAAACTTTTGAATAAAATTCATGAGAAGATAGTGAAAAGCATTCATCATACTCAGAAGTGATAGATAAAATACTATAATTAAAAACATCTTTTAATGAAGTTCTTGATAGAGAATCAAGTACTACTTTCAGTAAAGAATATCAAGATAATAAGACTGTATAAGAAGCTCAGTGAGTGATGACTAGAATCTTTCTCAGTAATAAGAGTAATAAGTAAGCAGATATATGAGTTGAAATTACTCACAGAATTGAAATTAATTCATTCTATTTTTCATATCTTCTATTTGAAGCTCTATAAGTAATACTTTGAGATGAAGCTGTCTTGACTGAATGATATTAAGATAGAGAATGATACTGAATATCTTATAAAGAAAATATTAAATAAGTGAATATATTACAGCAAGTTTCAATATCTTATAAAATAAGAAGAATATTTATTGTCAGAGAATTTATGAAAATCACTTGAGCATTTGAAAAATGCTGAGAAAGAGATTATAAGCTATGAGATAACTAGTAGAGACTGCTCTATTACATATCAGAGATATTGAGTAAGAAATACTGCTTAAGACTTCTTATTTTTCTTAAAGAGTTTTTTAGAGATAATCTTACAGTAATAAGTCAATGTCTTATAAGCTCTGTAGCACTCTTCTTCTATTTTCTCTCAAAGAGTTTTTTAGAAGTTTAATAAGACTACACAAGTGTAACATTTCTGAAGTGATTAAAGAAAAGAAATATTTGAAATTAATAAAAAGATTAATATTATTAATTCACAGACTGCTGCTAATCTAATGAGATTATAGCTCATTGAAAAAGTAAAAAGAGAGAATCTCAGAGTCTACTTATTAATAATTATATCTTCATTAAACTCATTCTTCATCATTGAAGTCTTCAGTACTGATATCTTTATCTGCTGAGAAGTTAATACTGCAGCACTGTAGAGAAGCATACTGTAAAAGAGTATAAGAGATACTAAAAGTATTAACTTATTAACTTATAAAATATCTCAGTCATCTGTTTCAACTGAAGTGAGATTCTCTTTAATCAGTGATTGATCTCTATAGTACTTTCAACAGTGACACTGACTGATCTCTTCTTAAGATCAGTCATTCTGAGATGTTTTTTTATCTTGAAAATTTACACTTTTATCTTCTTTTACAGATGAGTAAGAGAGATCTTCTCAGTCTTAATAGAATTTATCAATACTTGAAGCTCTGAGATTCTCACTCTGTACTGCTTAAGCATCTGAGCTTCTTGTCAGAGTCAACACAATATCTTGTAGAGTAGATAATACTTATAGAGAGATAGAAGTTATTATTACAGATGCAATGAAAATAATAGAAGTGAGAGAAGAGATAAGTGTATAAGATTCTTCTCTTCTTCAGCTGCTTAGCACAGTGCAGATAAGTAATAATATTAGTCAGAGACTGCATCAGAGCCTCTCTACAGAGAGAAGATAAAGAAACTGCAGAACTCTGCAGACTCAACTCAGCAGTATTCTGAGCAGAGCTCAGATATATCACAGAAGAGATACTATGAATTAAGCTTCTTAGAGCTGCTGTTCTCAGAATCAAGCTCTTCTCAGAATTCTCTTCAAATGACTACACAGAGTTATACATTATCATATTAATTGAGAGAGAAGATAATGTTACAACAGTGACAGAGAGAGTAGAAGAAGAATCAGATATAGATAAATTAATTAACAGAAGAGATAACATCTCACTGCAGAGTACAGTGACTATCATCACAGCTGTAAGAGAAGCAGAAGAAGATGTAATAATAAAAGTGATACTTCTACAGCTTATTAACACTATTATCTTCATCTTTAACTGAGCTTTCTTGACAGTCACAGAGACTGCAGCCACACTATGAAGACATTTACTTACTAGAAAATGTCAGAATAAGTTCTTTATTATTCTTCAAGAATGATACTCTCATACACTTATTATTACAATTGAGAGAAAGAAAAGAAAAATGTTTTATAGAAGAAGAGATCTTTTTGAAAAATTCTGCTATTACTGTTAGCTTTGTCTCTAAAATATATTACTTTTGCAGAGAATTTTATATATAGAATAGAATATGATAAGAGATCTGTATATTACTTATTAACTATATTTTTCTCATCTCAAATTGATATATAAGAAACTCACTTATCACATGTTTAATTTAAATGAAGATGAGTAAAGAAAGATCTATACAGTCAGTAGAAAAACTTATCTATTTCTTTATATTATATACAGTACATGTACTATCAATCAGTTAGTAATTATTGCTATATAATAAAGATAATTTCTAATTCAGTAATCTTAAGAGTATAGAGACTATACTCTTAAAGAGAAGAGTATTATCACACTCTCAGCTGTGTCAAGACTCTGTTACAGTTTCATACAGCTTATTGCTTTTATACAGATAATTTCATTCATTTCACAGACTGTCTGAATCAGTTTTCAATCACTCTATAACATTATTTAAATATATTATAGAAAGATTTAATTAATGAGTATAAGAATCTCACTTCTATACAAGATCAGTAGATTACTTTTTCTTAATAGTGAGATACTACTGAGATATCACTCTGGCTATTCTTACTTATGAAATAAGAGAAGATATTCACTTATTATCTATATAGAATAGCTAGATGCTGACTCTTCATGAAAGAAGTCAGTAATTCATTTTTCTTCTACTGAAATAGATATGAGAGTTACTGCATATCTTATACAATCTTCTTAGTATACTAAGTATCATATCTGTGATATTCTCACAATAACTCTGTAGTCTATGAGCTCGCTATTCAAGCAAGATAGTTAAGCTTATTTATACAGCTTCTCAAACAACTACTTCTACATGTCACCGCCGACTAGCCACTGCTTCAGTTCTGTCACATTACAAATATGAAGATTTGAATTAAGTATTTGAAGAAGTGTTCAGAATTTGAGGTTTTTAATTAATCAAAGAGAAAGATTCAGAGATATATACATATAAAGTAATTATTCACAGAAGTTATTAAATAAGAGTTGTGAAATTAGAGTACTAATATAGAGTTATTTTTACATGATTTTCTTTAAATTAGAAAGTTAGTGTTATTAAAAATCATTATCTGATAGAGTAACTTATCAGCTCAGTAGTAATTTTCTGATTATTTTTCTTTTATTATCTGCATTCTGATAACTTCAGATGTTAGAAAATTTCTTCAGAGCTATGATCAGTTTATAATGAATGTTTCTGAATGAAGTTACAGTGATTGTAGCAGAGAGATAACTCTTCAGTAATCTGCAATACAATCTGTTGATAATTATTTTATAGTTTATCTTAATATTTGTGTTGAGTTTTTCATAAATTTTGTGACCTGAAATCACATGTGAAGAATGAAATAATTATTCATTATAATTGAAAGAGAGCATTCTATGTTGAATTGTAAATAACATAGACTTTGTAATTTACAGTGATTTCTTGAAGAGTTTGTGAATCTTTAATAGAAGTAAAAGAAGTGAAAGAAGTGAATTCAGAATATATAATAATAATTTAAGAAAGATAATAATTTATTTTTAATAACTAATTACTGATATGTGTAAGAAGAAAAATAATCTTGTTTCTTAGCTTAGTTATAATTTTAGTACTAACTCAGATTAAATATTATCAATGTATAAAAGTAAATAAACAATCTTGATTAATCTCTGTCATATTTCTTGAAATATATTAATATTATGAAAGAGAGTGTTACTAAATTACATTATCAGATAATATCATTAAAAATATATTAATATTATGAATATCAATGTTGAAAAAATGTTGATACTTATACATTATAGTGATTTGTAAATCATGATAGTTAAATATATATATATATATATATATATATATTATTCCTGACTTGATTACAACTTGTACAATAATTTTTAAAAACTTAAAATTAATTTCAATTATTAATAATTATGAACTTATAACTAACTAATATAAAAAGAAAAAAACTTTTTCTATTTATCATCTTTCTTCTCTTTCTCATTCTTCTTATTATTCTTTATAATTCACTTCTTATTCTTCTTCTTCTTCTTCTTCTTCTCATCTGAGATGATAATTATCTTAAAATCTCTCTTCACTATCTTCTTAGAAGAGGGTTCTCACTGCTTTCTCTCAGTCAGGTCAATCTGTGTTTTAAAATCCTGTATTTTCTAATCTGCTGTCTCAGGTTCTATCTCAGTGATAAGCAGATTGACATACTCAGAGAGTAGAGCTGTCTTCTCAATATTCTGAATTATGAAGTGCATTTGAGATCTGAACAAGATCTTAATTCTCTTCTTCTCTGTCAGCTTCTGCTAATCAATTAGAGAACAGAAGTATTATTAAAAATTATTATCTCTCAATAAATAAAAAACTTATCAGTTTTAACTTCTTTATCTTCTACTTTAATACTCTCTTAATTTTCTTCTATTATTATTTATTTGTAGTAATACTCTTCTTCTCTCTCTCTCTCTTCATCTTAGTTTTAAATCATTCTTAAGACTTCTTCTGATCTCACTGCTGCTGTATGAGACTCTTTACTATCTTCTTCTTCAATCTCTTATAAGCAGTATAATCTGCATTATTTCTATACTTAGTTCAGTCTAAATCTATCAGAAGTGTTACTTAAAATTGTTATTATTCTACTTTCTTACAGAGTCTCTTTAAGATATTATAATATATCTTACAATCTGTCTTCTCTTACTTGAATATCTTCTTCTTCTCTTTCTTCAATCTGTGATAATACTCATGCACCTTGATGATTCACAGAACCGCAGAATATTTGAAGAGAGATAATATAATTAGTTTCAGTGAGTATTAAAGAGAGATAAAGACAGAAGAGACAGTCAGAAATAATATAATAATAATAATAATAATAATAATGATAATAGTAATAATAATGGTAATAATAATGACAATGATGATGATGATGATAATAATAATGATAATGAAAGAGAGAGTGCATTGAAATATATTACTAACTTATCAAATATAAAGAGACTTAAAGAAAATATTAACAGCTTTCAGTGATGTACAGAAACAGCTACAGTATTGTATAATAACATTATCTTTATTCAATACATGCACTGTTGATATTCTTTGTATACAGTTATTATATAATCTATATCAGAAATACATGCAGAAAACAGATCTTTGTTACTAGAATAAATAATTACAGCAATTCTCTGTTTTTATATTATAAAGATAAGTTATTCTTATTTCTTTCTTCTCTCTTTTCTCTTCTTCAATCAATCACTAATTTCAAGCTGGTATGAAAACTATTAAAACACTCTTAGAAATTCTTAAATTGAAGAGTATAGACTAATCAAATTTCAAATACAGAAGAAATCAAATTATCTTCTACAGATTCAATTATTCATCTTCTCTTCAAATAAAACAGTAGTTGTATTCTCTTCTTCTCTCAATCAAATGAAACATGGCCTGTGAAATGCAAGTATCATGCTAGATTATAATAATCAACACAGCCTCAGCATGCAGAGCTGTATATATGCAGCACATGCTGAACTGAAAGACTGTGTAAGTTATAAATCAGCAGCAGCATCTTAGAGAGAGTCATGCAGTGTGAGAAAGCTACAACTCTCAGTTATATATACAGAGAGTGAATCACTGCAGTAAGCATATATGTATTAAAGTAATACTTTTTAATAATACTCAGTCTCTGATATAATGAAAATAGAGTCTCTCTGTAAGATTCATTTCTATCAGAAATCAGAGAATCTTATATTTCTTAAGATTATCTTCATACACCTTGTCTATAAAATTAATAGAGAGAATCATTGATTTCAGTGTTCTGCTCTTAATATTATTCAAGTGATAGCAGAGTTCACTCTGATCACACTTTTTAAGTGTATATTTTCTAATTATTCATATCTATATAGATATATACTGATTATTTATTAGATGATATTAAGATAATAACTTATTACAGCTGTGTTATTCTCACTGTGAGAGATATACAGTTAATGATAAATATTGTAAAGACTCTGAGAAGTGAGTATTTTAGAGATACTATAGCTCTGCAATCTTGATTTTTTTTTATTTTTATTTTTTATTTTTTTATTTTTCTTTTATTTTTTTTCTTTCTCTTTCTTTCTCTTTTTTTCTTTCTCTTCTTTTTTTCTTTCTCTTTTTTTTTGTTGTGATTTTTTCTTGTTATTTTATTTTTTATTTTTTTATTATTTTTTATATTTTATATTTTTTTTTAATTAAAATGATATTAATTATAATCTGTGTTTAGAAAAGTAATGATATTTAATAACACTCTCTATTGAATTTTCAACAAATAAGTACTATGTTATGATATTATGTAAGTAAGAAATGATTTCATAATCTTATTTAATACTATTTTCAATAATGAGATCAGAATGAAAATGTGACTAAGAATTTAAACATATTCTTTATCTGAGACTAGATTTTTATTTAAAAAGTGAATCTGAGATCTTTAATATTTGAAATAATGTGATTTGAGATTAATGTGATAAATACAAATCATGATCAGAAGTAATACTTTTAGACAATATAATAACTGTAAAGTTTAATTCTGATCTCAGACACAGTTACACAGTCAGTCTATATATAAGAC